CGCATTAGCCTTGCTGGTCGCAGCACCGGACAGGCAAGGGGACCCCAGCAATCCTTGTGCCCGCCCTAAGTGAAGGCTGGCCTGTGTTTTGACACGAGGCACCAATTTTGTCATTTCTACATGTGGGGGCGCCAAACAGTTGCCACACGCCAGTTGGTTACAAGGCCCACGCCCTGTGGGTGCATGACGTGCTGATCTTCTGGCCTCCTTCCCTGTTGCGACGTGGCCAGAGGCTCTTGGCCAATGAAAATCCACGCTGCGATGTTGCAAGTGGCACGTAGGCCAATGAGAATGCACCAAAGGATAGCAACCGGGTCGCACAGCTGGGCAGATAAACTGCCGCAGGCCGAGGCCACTGTCTGAATGGGCCTGGCCGCAGACACTTTGGCCCAACATGAAGCTACTGGGCACACACTGTTGGAGGCTGACGCGCCGTGTCAACAGAAGTTGACTTGCCGCGCTCATCCTCTGAGTCATATCAAATAAGGCGTCTAGGAGAGGAGGAGGGTTAGCTGGCTGGTGATTAGTCACCGGGGTTAGGAGGTGGGCGCCTGCTTGTCGGCGATGGGGCTCCTCACAATGATGGTTTGGCTCCTCGGGATGATGGCGGGGCTCCTCAGGACGATTGCAGTGGCAGACAAAGCGGGTGGGGAGGAAAGAGGAGCCGTCGACGAACCGGTGGCCTGCACAATGAGAAAGTTTTGCCAACACACTGCATAGGAGAGCACAAGGCAAATTTTCCCTCCCATTTAGAATTTGGTTTGCAGGCCTGAGCAAGAGGCGCAAACTTTTTGGTCACAACCTAGGCCTTTTTTTTTCCGAGGGGTGGGAGGGGAGGGGGTTACCACCGTGGGCTGCACGGCTGTGCGGAATGGGTTGTTGATGCGACTGTTTTGTTTTGGTGTTAGACGTTGCTGGCTTCTGAACTGGATTGTTGCTCCCCAGTATGCAAAGAGATCAAATTTTCTGCCCAATAAGGAAAAACCCAAACAAAAAGAGGAAAAAGTTGACTTGGAGTTTGGAGGCTTAGTGCGAAAGCTCTGAAACCATGCAGCAGGCCTCGTTGTTGATTAATATCCCATCCCATGTGTCGTTAAAAAGAAGAATGCTGCTGTCTCTGTTTGCAGCGTGTCAACGAAGAGGAGGAGAGCCATGCAGCAGCTTCAGAGGAAGATAAGAGAAGCTTGTCACAGATATCCGGCTTGTTCAGAGGAGATGAAACTCATGCAGCAGCTTCAGCGGAGGATGAGAGAAGCACTTCTCAGATGTCAGGCATTGACCATGTCAATTCGGACATCTTCCATCTGTACAAGGAGGCAGCAATGGTTGGCTGGCAGGCAGTCGAACAAGCAGCAGTTGAGGCTGATACTGAATACTCACAACACCCTTCAGGATGGCCGCGTTTGAAGAGGAAGCTATACATGACTGTAAGAGATTGATTGACTGGAGGTTACAGCCTATGCTGAGTAATGAATTATAATCAATTATTATTCAATTATATCCATTATATATTGTCATAGAGAACTGCTCGGACAAAAGGAGAAAACAGTCAAACATGCAGTGAACCCCTGCCAGACCCACTCAATATCGCTCATCGATGGTCAACACCGTCAATGCAATCGACACAGTCAACACCTAGTAGAACCCTGTTGGACCCATTCCTCACAGTCAATGTGTGGTCAATGCAGGCAGTGAAATTTGTGCAGTCAAACCTCAGTGAGCCATTCAACATTATCCATGGACAGCTAGTGGTCAATGGAATCACCACAGTCGACCGTTGGTTGAAGCGCTGCTTTACCCATTCCACCTGGTTGGTTCATGGTCAATCTAATCAAGACAATTGACATGGTCAACATGCGCTGTACACTTCCTCGATGTGCGTTAACCGCTGGTTAACCTGTTGGGTAACTCTTTGATGACCCTTTGGTGAAAGCCTTGCTTAGCTTCGTTGTCAGTGGCCCCCATGCTGACCCCTGGTTAACCCCTTTTGTGAACCTCCTGGTTAATCTCAGGCTGAAGGCCCAGTTGACTGCCTTGCCCTGGCTAACCCCTTTTGTGTTTGAGTGCCTCTGCGTGAGGACGAATATTCTGTCCGTACAAGAAACAGGAAAGAAAAACGAGTTCAGCAGGCTCACAAAAGACGGCAAGACACATTGCTTCCTTTCTTAATGGATGTATCTTGCCGTCTTGTGGTGGTGTATGCATTCGTTTGTATTTCGTGATGGTGCCTTAATGCTGACAGTATCCATCAAGGACAACGGATACAACAAACTCTTGAGACAGACGTCTGGGCAGAAGCTCAAGGAGGACAAAACTCCTCCTATGAGCAATCCTTCAAATTCTGCTCATCTGATTGGATCTCGATTTGAACTGTGGTCCTTATTTCAACAGTTTGTGGGTGTACAAACTGCGCTAGGCCCAATTGCTGAATCGTGACAGATTCAACACCCTAGGGCATCGTTCCAGATCTACAAAAAAGATATTAATTATGGTGGTGTATGTATTATGTATCCATATTCTATGCGAGATACATTTTGCACATTTGGTGAGTGGTGAGCGAGCCCCAACGCCTGGTGCACGGAAATATCCCCAAATCTTAGGGATTCTGACCCCAGGTACATGGAAATGTCCCGCAACATGCAAAATATCGCATGTGTATCTTTCCACTTTCCAGTGGGAGATACTTTCTCATTTTTCACAATCCACCCTGACCAACTTTCCCATTTTTCCTTTTTTATTAGCAACAAGCGGATGCCCTCCGCGTCCGTGGTGGGGACCAAGAGCAGGGAAAAAAAACAAACAAACAAACAATGCCTGCTCTCTCTCTCTCTCTCTCTCTCTCTCTCTCTCTCCCGTGAGGGTTGTTGCCGCTGTCCGAACAGCGATGCTCCCACGTCCGCGGGCCCGCCTTCCCAGCGCCTCCTTTCCCTCGTCCTCTCTCTCTC